TCTACACATTCGCCAAGAAAAGAAGGGAGAAGAAGCCTTTGAAGATACCCATTAAAGGCAAACTTGCAAAGAAAAAAAAAAAAACTTCATCCTCGTATAGGTAGGCAGTAGCACGGCCGGCGACTTTATCATCTCCGTGACGTGACAGTCTTAGCTCATCACCGCCAGCCTTATCTTTCACTCTCTCACACACTCTCTGTCTTTCTTCCGCCCTCGCCCGGCCCGCTGTCGGCCCTCACTTACACCACGACGTGGGCCACCGCTTCGCATCGTATCGCATCGTATCGCATCGCCGCGGACTGCCCAGTCGGCTGGGCGACTGGTACAGCACAGACCGGCCCGGGATTTTCATTTTTATTTTTATTCTACTTTGGTCTCTGAGGGCCTTTTGAGTCACTTCGCGATCCGTCACCATCTACTCCTCCCAAGGGCAACAACTCTCACTTTCCAAGGGCCAAGTCCGAGCTCAAACGCCAAAGTCAACACAGCACATTGACCTCTACCACGATTCGACGCATAAGGACCTCTTGACCCCTTGCCTCACTCTCGGAGAAGGGCGTGCTACATCCGCCCTTGGGGATGAGAAGAGCGACATGGTGGCTCCCAATGTCCTAATCACCATCCTCGTAAGTCTGGTCCCCTCCGACGCCAGTCAGACACGAGCTCTTCTCCTCCTAACAGCCATGACAGCCCGGAGAGTACTCCCTCATCCACTTCCCGCCCATGCTCTACACCCACTTCCTGCACCCCGTCCTCCAGGCCCTCCTCCCTCAGTCGCAGACCATCAGCCCTGACGATGCGCGCGAGACGCCGCCCTGGCCACAGCACAGCCTGCCGGGCCTCACAGAAGACCACCAGCACAACTTTCTCAACGTCAGCGTGACGCCCCTCGAGGCCTCGGTCGTCTGCCACGCCGACTGGGCGCGCACCGTGTTCCGGCCCGCCATCGACCGTATCCTCGAAACGCTGCCGTCGCACGTACGCAAGCCCGCCGTCCTGTCGCCCGACACCTATCTCGTCCTCTCCGTCATTAGCGGCGGCGGCGGGGGCTCCGACACGGACATCGTCGCCCGCATCCTCGATCTCACGGCGCCCCTCGCCCTCGCCGGCATCCCCATCTTCTTCATCTCCACCTACTACAGCGACTTTATCCTCGTGCCCGCCAAGGACCGCGCCACCGTCCTCGCCGCCCTGACGGCCCGCGGCTTCCAGTGCCCCGCCGACCACGGCAACCGCTTCGTGGCCTCGCGACCGGGGGGCTCGGGCTCTGGTCTCGCCGCGAGCTCGACGGCGACGCCCGAGTCGCCAGCCTCCGCCGACGCCGCCACGCTCGCGACCCTCTTCGACAGGACGTTCGCCCAGCTCAAGACACGCAACGTCGTGCCCTCGGTCGACCCGACGCTGCGCCTCGTCCAGCTCTCGGCGCGCGAGACGCCGCTGCCGAACCGCGGCTCGCCGACGTCCTTCTCGCGGCCGGGCCTGGGCTCGCGCCGGGACGGTGGCCTCGTCTTCTTCGAGGCGAGGCCGCCGCGTACGTGGAGTGGAGACG